CTAGATGTTGCTTGCGTCGGGTCATCTTCAGAAGACTGCGCTCGAACGCTCTGTGGGTGGACAGTGTTGGCCCAAGTCTCAGCTGCGTTACAGAGCGCCGGGAGAACAGTTGAGTCGAACAGGTGGGCACGAACCTCCGGGTCCGTCAGTTGGTCGGTAGCTTCCTTCAAAGGCCCCAAAGCGGTTTATGCTGCTCTTCTTCTCCCGTTAAGTTCTTTCCCCAAATCTTTCTCCATGTCCATCGCCGAAATACACTTGAGAAGACGTATCCATAATAGGGGTGCCTTCCGATTCCATTTCTGCATCTTAGCAAAGGGCATTCCTCATGAATTGAGTCTTCTTCCGATTTATTCGCAATCCAATCTTCTTCTCTACTTCGTTCAGTTCCTTCAGCATCGTCTCTGCTTCAGATACTGCTCGAGAAGAGAACGATGTTGTCCACAAAACGAAGGTTCGACAGGAATCTCCCATCAACTCGTATGCCTCTCTCGTCTTACCCACTGCAAGGCCGCTGTGAACAGGTTCGGCGAGATTGTGTCGCCTTGTCGGACCCCCTTACCATCTGGGATAGTTAGACGGCGATGGAACAGCTGCATCGTCGTTGTACAGTCCTTGTAGCAGTCGGCTAACGTCCTCACGTGAGCTGGGTCCACTCTTGATCGACTAGCGCAGGCAGGATGGCATTATCGACGCTGTCAAAGGCTTTCTCGTAGTCGACAAAGCTTAGGACGAGAGGCAGTCGGTACTCCCTACAGACTTCTATGACTCTTGAAATCGTCTGGATGTGGTCCATGCAGCTGAACCCTTTGCGAAATCCAGCTTGTTTTTGGGGTTGGGCTTCATCCAGTGTCCTAGATATGCGAGTGAGGATAATCATCGTGAAAAGCTTGTACAGCACACTCAGCAGGCGTATTGGACGGTGGGTCCGCAGATCCTCCCGTTTGCCGTTCTTGAAGAGAAGGACGGTCCTCGACGTTCTCCATTGGTCGGGAATCCTCTCCTTCTGAGTAAGATGTCAAACGCGACGCTAGAACCTCGTATATAGACGGTGTCCTCCGGTTCGCAGTAGCTCGACGGAAAGATGATCTGGTCTTGGAGCCGTGGACGTCTTCAAGGTCTGCATAGTGATACGCACTTCAGCAGGTAGGATCCGTGATGGTACTTCTCCAGTGGGAACAACGGGCATCGGCACGGGTGTTGATGAGCGGAAGCTTGGTGTAGAAGTTCTTCGCGACAGATTCCATCTTGTATCGGGAAGAAGTTGGAGTCCCGTCTTCGGTCAATAGTGCACTAGCGTACGTGATATTCGCAGAGATCCCTTCGGCACTTCTTGAGACTTCGTTTTTCCTCGGCTGATTCCAATATGGCTTGCCTCTACTTCCTGAGATCCTCCTGCAAAGCTGTTTTGCAACTGGCGTTGGCTATCAGTCGGTCGAGATGAGTTGCATTCGGATCCTGCTTCAGAAGTCTTCCCCTCTCGAGCAATTCCTTGGTGGTCTTCAAAATGCGTTCCAAGTTTTTCTCGAAGTCATTAAGGCGTACTCTCCGCAAGCTCGCAATCCTTTCAAAAGCCGGTAGTAGTCGTACGTTGGATCCTCCTCGATGGGCCAGTCACAATTTGATATGAGCTCTTCTAACCTGTTACCGTCATAACGAATTCTTTTCTTCTTGCGTCATTGTGGCAGACCTTCTTTTCCAGCTTTCGACTGAATCGTATCTTTGCTCGAAGAAGGAGGTGATCGGAGCCACTGCAGAAGGATGGAACTACTGAGACGTCGAGCAAGCTCTACCTTCTGTTGGTGAAAATGTGGTCTCGATATCCGCATGAGTCGTTCCGTTGGGCGATTTCCAAGTCTACTGGCAATGTTCTTTCTTCACGAAGATGGAATTCATGGAAAAGAAATGCGGCCAAAAGAAGACCATTCCGGAGCCCATATCCAAGCTTCCCAATTCTATATTCCTCTTCTAGTGGCATCCCGATCTTCGCGTTAAAGTCGCCCAAACGAACTTATAGAAGGACTTCTCGTTGCGGACGACGTCTTCGTAGAAAGCATCTAGCTCTGCGTCAGCTGCTGATGTTGGTGAGTAGTAGTTGATGATGCTGATGATTCTCTGACGTGGAGGTCGTAGTTTTAGAATATCTAGTCGAGGTGACAGGATTTCATGCGAATCGACAAGTTGGACGATAGATGGGTGGACGACAAAACCAACGCCTCCAACGTTTCGTGAGGGAAGCTTTTCGCCAGGAATGATGAGGGTCCCATCACTCATCTGTCGCACGTCCTTCTTCCTAGACTTCGTTTACTGCAGAGCGATGACGTGATACTTGATGTGCTCTGCAGCGTTCAGAAGAGCGTGTAAGTCGGCGTTTGTGGAGATTGTCCTGGCGTTGTAGGTGCAGAGCATGAAGCAGCCTCCATGGCGTGTCGTCCGGGCAGACGCGTCGTTTTTGTCCAATCCAAAAGGCGCTGAGAACCCTGACATCTCTTGCTACCACCCGGCGCAGTAGGTGAGATCCGATGTACAGGGTTTTTTCTATTCTTCTAACTGATAGAATTTCCCCTACAAGAGCAGACTTACTACTCTTGATTTCCACGGGCGATCGCTAACCCGAACTTGGAGCGGGGAGAACCGCTTAGCCACTGGTGAAAACCAGACGGCGGTGGATCTGGCCTGGCCGGCATCCGGCCAAAACCGGAAACGTCGAACTCCTTCAGAGCTTGGGTGGTCCTGCCAGAGTATACACTCGGATGTGCATCGCAGACCATTCGACACCTAGTGTCACCACCCCCACGCCACGATGAGGCGGCCGACCATTGTGAGGGATAGCAACTCATTGAAAAAACCCGAAAGTGGCATTTTTGCTTTTGCGGACCGTTTTTCTTCTTAAATTTGAGGAAAAAAAGTGCGGAAATTCAGCAAGTGTACTTGTAAGTACTACTATGTGATTACTGTATAATGACCAAGTTATAGATTCGTAAGAATTCTCGAAAAACAAATTCAGGGAGTTGAAAATTTTTTGATTTTGAAAGTTTAAACATTACCTTGGTTGAAATTTATGTGGCTTTTTGGCGGCCACATTATGTGTAGCGTGCTTTACTATATCGTATTATATTCTAAACCTGCTAGGAAAGCAAAAACAGTTTGATTTGTTGCTTGGAACAATTCAATATACAGAGTTCCCGAAAAATGTGAACACTGTTTGATTGTTAATAACTCCCTTGCTTTCACATCTTTCGCTAAGAGGCACCATTCTATAGAGCGAGGTTTATCTTAGATCAACAGTATGGAGCGAATCGTCGATCGCTTTTCATTACTGTAGGATTATGGTAGGAACTTCGACAAGGATTTTAGGCCATTGAAGGCCATATTCTGCCTCGGAACAAAACCAAACAAGTCGAAAACTCTTAAATAATGGTAATGGAAAGCGCTGATTTGAATATGAAATTTCCACTTTACTGTGATGCTTCTTTCCAAGGTTATCCCAGGTAAACCGTAATAACTGAATTTCCAGCATTTGTCAGAAATGTGACTACATCGTCAAGAAAGCTAAAAAACACTCGTAAAAAGTTGTGTAATGGAATCAGCATGCGCGAAAACCCTATTACACGATTTTTTAGATATTTTGAAAAAAAAATTTCAAATAGCATATCTCACAACAGATCCACATGCTAGAAGTTCATACCGTAATTTTACAGTAACGAACAGCGATCGATGATTCGCTCCATACCACAAGTCTAAGTTGAACCTCGCTTTACAGAATGGTGCCTTAAGCCCGGCGAAAGACATGCAAGCAACAGAGTTATTGACGATCAAACAGTGTTCGCATTTTTTGGGACACCCTGTATAGCTGACAGACAATCCGCAGGATTCCATGAAAACATAAACTTAATTTTAGAGACCAGCACGAGGGTGGCAAATGGACATCGATGAAACCACTTCACTTTTGCCTCTATAGATTTTTACGATTTCCCACTTGATTCCGCCAGCTGGTAGGTTGTTCGATTTTGGAGTGCGCTTTCTTCTTCGAACGGGCCGGCGTCGTTGCTATTTTGGATCCTAACAAGGAGGAGAAGAGGAGTTTTGGAGTCTAAAAATTGGAACCAAAATGTCACTATATATTAAGCTTTAGGTGTGGAATAGATTTGTGTAAAAATTGAAAAACATATGTGAAATAGAAGTCTTTACCTCAAGTGGGCATCAGGTAGGCAATTGCCCACCTAATCTGGAAAAACTTTGGGCACGCTTCATTCACATAAGTTTTTCATAATGTTTCGTACTTTGTTCCTTAGTTTTACTGCGCGTATACATACCAAATTTCGCGCGATTTCGTCATCTCTGCTTTGCATACGAACCATTTTTCCATTTTGCGATAGCGGGAAGTTTCCAGAAAAAAGCTTGCTACAACCTTCGTCACATAACTTTTCAATGGTACTTCTTTACCTCTGCGGGCCTGTGTTCATGTACCTATAGAGTTTCATAGCATATCGTCATCTGCGCATTACAAACGAGCCATTTGAATTCACATCTTCATTCACCAGTTATGCAAAATTTTTCGAAAAAATACTTATTGCACCTTCCATTCACACAAGTTTTTCATAATTTTTCAAAAATTATTTCCACTAGCCTCTATTCGTTCGCTCACGAAATTCGGTGCCATATCGTTACGCATACAATGAGAACTAGACATGCATGTTTTTACAAATAGCATCGTTTGAGCGATTTGCGCGTGCGGCAATTAGCGACGGGGCGGTTTGACGCGCGCAGACTCCAGTGTTCGCCTGTTGAGGCACATAACATGTTAAGATAAGCAGATAGCATTAACTACCAATTTTTCATGGGCTTCGCCACGGACCCAGCAAAAAACGATATCCCCTTTGCTTTTTCGCCCAAAAAGGCTTCCAGTCTGTCATTTGCCCCTCGTGCCGGTCTCTGCTCAATACCGCTTTTTGCATGTATACACGCGTTTGAGATGAAACGAACAATCCAGACTATCTCACCAATTTAGCTGCAAGGTAGACGCGATGTTTCGGTGCGATAGTCCTCTTCACTCTACTCAGCGCAACACATGTCAGTGTTATAACCACACTGATTGATGACATCACAAAGATAAGCTCATAGTAGCTATCTAAAGGCAGTTTAGTACCCGATGTAAGGAAACTCTTAACTGCATAACCTTTACTAACACAATCTTGGCCTCGTCCCGGCGAAACCATTCGAAGGTGCAATCGAACAAACGTACAAGAAACAGACTGTCTGTAGGGTAAGAATGAAGAGCTTGATGTAGATCTGCGCCTGCAGATCGCCAAACAGTGGAGATATCTAGAAATGCTCTTGCACATCATTATTAACGACAATTTAGGAGTTGTTAGAATAATGGTATTTGCTGGAGCATCAAAATGATTTTGATACAATTTCTACGTCATGCCGAGATTCATAGAGAGTTGAACAATCCGTCTACTTCGCGTTGCACCAACCGAGTTAGGGATCCAACCGATTATAAAATGACCAGTGCGTCACTTCTGACTCGCAGAGTTTCGCAGTGGTCTTCTTTTGCCTTTACCTTCCTAATGCTCATGATTTTGGCTATGAAACTCATCGAGCAATGCTGATCATCACGAAAGAATCGTAAGCAATTATTCATTTTGCAAAGCTTTCGCAATGAGATCGGTATTATTAAAAACAGAGAAACTTTTTTGCGAAAAAACAAAAGCAAAGTTAAATCATTTCCTGCATTCACTAAGGATTTACGGTTGCCACGAGTGCACTGAACAGTAGGAGCTACAATTCTGGGCAAAAATCTTGCCTACTTCTTATGTAAAACCTTGGCATGCCGAAGATTAATGCAATCATTCCTCTTTGGCGCCGTTTTCGCAAAAGGATAGGTTTTTCAGCACTTTTTGAGTTAAAATTCATGCCTTCATACTTTGCACACAAATCCACAACTTTGCAAGAGTCTGAACCCCGATTCAGTATCGCGGTTTGAAAGAGCCGGGTGAACCCATGTAGCGCTCAATTTTTGAAGGTTCCATATAACGCCCGTGAAGGGGCTCGCGACTGAGGAGTCCATGGCGCGCTCCACTGCCTATCGATTAGAGCACTATCTTTCCAACTGGGGCGCGCTATCTCTAGTTCCTCCTGCATGCTACTGTTCAACGACAAACATGCTCCAGTGATGTGCGGCGCACTCCGCCGCACTCTAGTGGACTGCGCCGCACTCCGGCGGACTGCAGCGCACTCTGGCGGAGTGCGCCGCAGTCCGGCGACTTTTTTGACGAATTATGAGCGGTATTGTATAAACAAGTCAGCGAAATAGTTGTGACAGTCGTACACTCTTCAGTGTCGTGGCTTGCACTCTCGGATAACGGCTTCTTCATCCGCTTAGTACGCAACAAATTCTGAGTTAAAATTTCCGCGTGAACAAATTGCTGTCGTTCATTGCACGATTGCTGCTATATTGTTAACTAGCGACCCTACAGGTCGCTAGCAAGTGGGTCGGGGCAGATACATATAAGGGCTTAGGTTTGACTAAAAATATTTCTAAATAAGTTTCCTGTTCCTTTCCTGAGAACATTTTTGCGAAGAGCATTCCACAAAAGGAGAACTGCTCGAAAAAGCGATAATCTCCACAAATCATTCAGCATTTCTCGAATTATTTTTATCTCATTTACACGCTTTTTATGCAAATTTCCCTCCTCACAGAGACATTCAGATAAACCCCCCCCCCACTTTTCTACCCTTTCAAAGAGAATTTGCTCTTTCAGTTCTTCTCAGCAAGTTCCATAAAAGATCGTTAAGTAAGTAGCAGAACATATACCGGAGTGCATATGCCCCTGTTGCATGAGGTGCGGAATATGTGGGCCGCGGCCAATTGAGAACATATGGCGGGAAATGAAATATTTAAACATTAAGGCATCATAAACTACACTCGAACACGATAATCGTACCTCTTTCTTCTTTGCCTATATGTAGCGTCCCAACATTTCATAAAATTGTTCTAATCTCTTTTTTTTCCTTTTGCTACCTTTTGCTACCTTCCTTGGGAACTACTGATGAAAGGGTTCTGAACCCGGGGGCGCCAAGGAAGGAAGCAATACTGGTCTACTTTTTAGCCCCGAAACCAGTATGCGTAAAATAAACATCTCATCACTCTTGCTTTCTTGTTTGATGTTCTTATATAAACTTATTCTATATGTTTTGGAAGTAGAAATATACCATAATAATTATGTGTATTACAAAAACACTTTTCTCTCAGAATCAGTTCCGACAGCAACGAAATCAGTCGTCTAAGAACTTTGTCAAAGATTCCTTCAATTTTTTCGCCAAAGGAATATGAAGCTTCACTACATAAGTAGATCCCTCCCCGAAAAGCACACTACTGAGCCACATAAAGACCGTCAATCATAAGAACTGCATAAACGTACAAATAATTTCTTTCCCTGTCCGATGAAATTGCCCTACGTGCCGTTTACAAACCAATTATCTATTTGAAAGAAAGTTCATGCCCTATGTGCCGCTTGAAGACCGTTAAAAAATTACAAGAGCTGCCCCAAACATAAGGAATCTGAAAAAAAAAATCCGCTTACAGACCGATAGTCAAAAAGAAAGTTTATGCCCTACGTGCCGCTTGAAGATCGTTTAGGAATTATAAGAACTGCCCCAAACATACAAAAATCTATTTCCCTGCCCGATCGGGTTGCCCTACGTGCCGCTTGAAGATCGTATATATAAAAAGCCAATTTTACGACTCTACAGAAAGAGAACAACGAAATCAAGTATTTACAGCGTATTCTCAAACTGCCGTGCATGCCACCTTTAAACTTCCAATTCTGAGAACTGCCCCAAACGTACAAAAATCTGTTCCCTGCCCGATGGAATTGCCCTACGTGCCGCTTACACACCGATACCCACGAAAAAAAGCAAGGCTGTTGTTAGATAAACGCTTCTAAAAGTACCAGCGAGACTAAGTTATTCACGCACTCTCTTGTCTACACTCGGAAGCAAGATAATCCTAAAGTGACTGAGATGTTAGCTCAAGTCACGCTTTCACGCAATTTGGCATTATTTCAAAAGCAACTAATAGGAGTAGAACATGTTTGAAAGACACATTCTGGGATAACAAGTTCGATTTTAAAAAGCTGGTACAAATAACACACCCGGACACTGGCGACACAGTCTCAAAATCATTGCGACACTCATGATTGCCTTTCGAAACCCGTGTGACCCTTTTACGAAAATCTGCTTGGTCACTCGTTATGAAATTTGGCAGCGTTCCAAAACGACTTGGCAGCAATCAAAATCCAAAGATCAGTGTATTTCATCATAATTTCTCTGTCTGCGGCCTCCTCGTTTGCCTGTTCCACAAACCTGGTGGCTTAATGGGTAAACAACGAATTCATTATATATTACGTAGTGACACCTCTACTGTGCGCCTCTGTCCTGCGGCATTAAACAATTGTTGGCGACATGCAAAAACATGTTGTCGTGGAAGCTAACAGCCAAAATTCTGCTAACATGTGTTGCACGTCGAAAACATGTCGTTGAATGTTGCGAACATGTTACCTATGCACGCCGTAAGCCAGAGACGCAGAGCAGGGTAGTATATCGTAGAGTGGACGATACTCCTGCAGTGGCGGCAGTATGAGCGTACAAAACACCGGCATTACAGGAGTAGCTATTTGTTCACGCTCAAACTTTACCTCGAATTCTCGAGACCGCAAAGGCACCATATCGACAAATCTACGACTGTACCTCATCAAGTGGACTGCGAAAAAATTGCGCTGATATGGCAGAAAGCAACTAGTTTTTATACAAATCCTTAGAAATGCCGAATTTCTGTTATTTCATCTCACTCCTTCAGAATGATATTTGTTGCACCTTTGCATTACCTCCTCAGACAATCGCTGGGGGCAGGCGGGCACCGGAAAAATAGATTGCTGATTTTTCGCACCCCGCTCGCGGATTTTTTGCAAAGCAATCAGGACCTTTCGGAAGAGCGCTTGCTGAGTCAGCGGATTTTTGAAAGACCGCCTGTTGAATTTTTTTTTGCTCTTATCTTTTGCAGATATATTGCTGATTCTCTGAGGAATCGAGAACTCAGCAAGCGGTCTTCCGAAAAGTCCTGATTGCTTTCCAAAAAATCCGCGAGCGGGGTGCGAGAGATCATCAATCTATTTTTCCGGTGCCCGCCTGCCCCCGGCGATTGTCTGAGTCTGTTGTACGCTCACCAACATGATCAAGGTCGCAATAGTAATTGGCATCTTTAGTGCCAGCCTCACGGTGCTCATTTTCTTCTCAGCATGTACACAGAGTTTCAGTACTTGTAGAGTACTTATACCAGCCAGGTGCGTAACATCCACCGTGTGTTCCTGTAACGGTTTGCAAGACCGAGGAACAACAATTATATAGAAGCATACATCGATCACCCAAGCAGAATGCTCATCAGCGAGAGTTGAAAGACCTTTCAAGTGGTCATAGAGATTCTGCACCGTCACTGGTCGATCAACCTTAATATGTGATTAAAGTGATGGATTCTTTTCCAACGGTAACGTCCCATTGTTTTTCAGTAGAAAGTTATCCCATTGTCAAAATTTGTACAACGATTCCAATTTCAACCATTTCACACCAACGATATATACAGTATACAGTATTCCTGAGAATATATTTGGAGCCCCCTCCCCGATGATGTTCAAGTTCAAGACAACAATTTCTAAAGTTGACACCGGGATGCTCAACTGACTGCACCTCGTTTTCTCCAAATTTTGAATTCGAAAGTACTGAGTCAATTTCGAAGAATTTGGTATAGGCTGTCTCAATGTGAGTGCGAATTAGGGCAGGTAGAGAAACGAATACAGTCGAGTAGATTTTCCGCTTAATATAGTGTGCTTGCACAGAAGGTGAAATGCGGTGAACTTTGGGCACGTCGCGGTAAAATTCGGTAAAGGTGAAATGCGGTAAACTTTTTTTAATTTTCCAATTGCGCGCGCAAAATGCCGGCAGTGCTGGCGCAGCTACCTGTTCACGCGCAAATTTTACCGCATTTCATAAACTATGTAAGCACACTACATTAAGCGGAAAATCTACTCGACTGTACTTTATTTAGGCGACGCCTCCGGTGGCCGTTGTTTGTTGTTCTTTAGATTCACGTGATTCATGTCAAATCATTAGTTGGTATTCACATTTCTATGTCAAATCGTAAAACTTGTTCTCAATAAAAATAGTCTACCTTCTTTCTTCCTTCTGTTTGCAAAGAAAAAGTGACTTCTCGATCAGGCTCAAAAGCAGTGAAGTATATGCAACACCGATTCTCATCTTCTGGGAACCTGAAATATCTTCTAAGTACTGATAATTCTCATATACACAACCAAGCTGGACTTTCCGTTCTGATTTGTGCTCTGAACGTGTCAGTTGAGGCGAGAAAGGGGGAGAAAGCAAAGTGAGGTCCTTAGATAATCAAAAATCACTATTACCCTAAAATCTTATAGATAAGTCTGCTTTTTTACTTCAGATAAGGCCTTTCAGAGAGTCCGCCCTACAGATAAGTCCTTTTTCTTTCCATTGTAACTAGGTACTCCAAATCTTGTCAAGAGTTCGGGCTTATCTGCAGACGGACTTATCTGATGGGAGGCCCTATCTAAAGATTTTAGGGCACGTTTTAAGGATTTATATCATAACACCAATCTGCTAGCGAAGTGTGTTGAAATATGCGAGACGCTGGTCGTTACTGAGGATAGGAATGGAAGCATACCATTATTCATCCTCTCACATCTCATCTCTGTATTCATTATGCTCTCGTTCGTTTCTCGAGCTCCACCCATTCATGCTATTTTTTTTTGGAACTATTTTTCACTCCTTTTATTTTGAAAAAACATCCGAAAATCTCGCTTTTGAGAGCAATTGCTCTGTTTGCATTAGATTTTTCTCTACAAAATGTGAGCGTGATTACGAGAATGATATTGTGAAAGGAAAATTGTAGCGATGCTTAGGGCAAAACACTATTTTAGACCGATACGATCCACTTTTCGCCCCAATTTTGAAAATATCTCCGGAAATCTCGCTTTTGGAAGCATTTGCTTCGCTTGAATTCAATTTTTCTCTTCAGTTTGTGAGCCTGATTGCGAGAATGTCACAGTGGAAGGAAACTGTACAGTGATCCTTGGAGCAAAATACTATCTCAGAACGATATGACCCCGCAACTGGAAATTATTTTGGGAGAATTATAGGATAGAAACAGCATCTATCTATAGGTTTCCCCAACCCGCTTGCTAGCGACCTGTAAGGTCGCTGGTCCTATACATGAAACTGAGGGTGGTGTGCTTGTCTGTCTGTATGTCTGTATGTCTGTGTGCGGCACAGAAATTTTTATTTTTGAACCGATTTGGACCAAATTTGGCACACATTGTGCGTGTGTAGGCTACTTTTCGTTTTCGATCGATATCGATTTTATCAAATTTTTGTGTAAAGGATGGATGCCGTGGTGTCTATAGGCCATAGGCAGATATTGAATGTTGATCATGACCATGTACTTTGTACCGTGGCGGCTATAAATAAGGCCGCCCGGCCGTTGTTTTAGTTGTTGTATTGTCTGTCACCTAGTCTCCTAATAAATTCTTCTATTACTCTCTTGTTCCCCACCTAGACATCCGCCCTCGCACTAACGAACCCGGTTAGTGCGTAACATTTGTCGATTTTTTCGAGTTCAAGCTACGGGGCTAGGAGTTGGCACAGGCGGATATTTGAGCACGTTGATCACGAATACCATATTGTAAAGGATGGATGCCGTGGTGTCTATAGGCCATAGGCAATGATATTGAATGTTGATCTTGACCAAGTACTTTGTACCGTGGCGGCTATAAATAAGGCCGCCCGGTCGTTGTTTTAGTTGCTGTAATTGTCTGTCATCTAGTCTCCTAATAAATTCTTCTATTACTCTCTCTCTCGATCCTCCACCTGGACATCCGCCCTCGCACTGACGAACCCGGTTAGTGCGTGCCATGGGGGCCGAACCAAACAGCCACTAACCGCCTCGGTGAGGGCGTGTAACCTGCCTAACGAGAGGCAGTGTATATCCCTGGTTCAAAGAGGAGCTCGTGTGTGACACATCGAGCCTTCTTGGAGGACCGGAGGAGGGGTCAGGTACCACCGCCGTGGTCTACCTCTATAAAGCACCAGCGGCGCGTGTACCGTATACTAACAGGTGCCTCTTGGTTAAGGGATATACTTTGTGGCTTGTATCACCTACACCGCAAGACCAAGCCTAGAGCGAGGCGGGGGTATACGCGTGTGTACCGTGAACTGATACATCATCAAGATTGAATTTGTGCCGCAGGTGAAGCACAAAATCTTGGATTCAAATAAAGCTCTATCTCCTACAGATATCGAGCTTGGATTATTTTCATCGAAGAAGCCGATGGACACCATGCAGAAGATGCCGGAGTGTCAGAAAAGAGTTCCGCATACAAGCCCGTCGACCAATCAGTATAATAAGGGTGAGGTTGCACAGGCAAATATTGCGGAGATATTTGCAGCAATGGCCCTTCCAGAGGTTGAGGTCTATGGAGATCCCCAGGGAAGGAACTTTGATGATTTTGTTTGCAGATTCATAACGAAGTATGGCAGACTTGGACTGCATAACGATATGCTAATACACCTTTTCCTGTCTAAATTGGACGGATATCCTAAGGCAGTGGTCGAAACACTATCAAGGGGTTTACGAGAGAGTACCTTCGAAGAAATTGTAGGAGCACTGCGAAACAAATTTAGCATAAATGAGTCCGCTAATCACATGATTGCGTATGTACGACTACGACTCAAACATCTGCGGAGGACAAAGGACATTACAGCCTTCTGTCTTGAGTTAGAGAGGCTTACGCGGTTAGCGTACCCAGACACCACAGACAAGCAGCTATCATGTATAAGAGCTGCAGAATTGGTTTTGCAGTTGAGGGACTGGCCTGAGTACCTGCAGTTTTTCTCAGCACTGGAAAGACCTAAGGAGCTGGCCTATGAAACTGTGAAAGCAAAGGCACTGCAATGTGAGCGCAGCAAGGAGTTGGCCATGATGGTGCAAAAATGCGGAAAAGTAGCCATTCCGCAATCGAACGCTGAGACATCCGCCAGTGAGGACTCAACTTCAGGCGGAGGCGTAGACGGCTGATCCTCCAGATGCTTCCGCAGCATCTTGGAAGAGGCAAATGCACTGCTACAACTGTAATGTACTGAGACATTACAGCCGTGACTGCAACAAGCCAAAAGCCTCGAGATCTGCAAGGGTACCCAAAAGAGCCGCAAGGAACTTTACGACATCCTTGAACAAGTGTATCTGCAACTCGGTAAGTTCGTCGCCGAGAAGAACCTGCGTCGTTGTCAATACGGAAGGCAACGGCAGTTCTCCCAGCGTTCGAATTGAGGACAGCTTGGCAGGAGCCAAGCTCAGGAGAACAGAGGAGGAAGATACGCTCAAGAATGCGTGCACGGTAGAGCAACAACCTTCTGCATATTCAGACAACATGCATGCAATGCCCGCCGTAAATCGAGTGCTAGACAGGCTGGATCGGGCGAACAAGGGAAAAGAGGAAGCAAAGCCAACTGAGGCTGATGCTGCGAACTGGATAAACGAACTTCGCAAAGACCCCGTCTACCGTGATCTGATAGAATGTCTTGAAAAGGACAAGCTAGACGGGCGAATTAAGTTCAAGAAGGCGTCACACATGTACAATGTATCCGACTTTGTGTTGGACCAAGGCCGTCTGCTGTACGCAGGAAGAGAGGGTTTAGAGAGGTTGTGCCGCCGTCTCAAAGGAAGAAGCTTGTAAAGAAAGCGCAAGGGAATGCGAGGCATTTAGGCGCAAAGAGCTTGTTTAGAAAGCTGTCAAAGAGTTTCTTTTGGGAGACGATGGGGCGAGACGTCTGGCGCTGGACTAGAAAACGTGTGTCCCAAATCAAAGGCAAATGCAAAGAAGGTGCAGGATCCCCTATTGATGTACCGAAGGCAGAGCTGAAAAAAGATCAAAGACCACCAGAATTATGTCACCTTCGATCAGATGGAAGCTCCACTAGCCATGCACAGGGCTGTCGCCGTCGCCCTGCAGAATGCATTTGCAATCGCGAGCGCAGACAAATGCGTAGAAACCTAGGTGTGTGACGCGAGTATCCAAACGGAGGTGCCGTACCACCACCAAAATGTTTTCATCAATCAAAAATCTGACCACTCTAAAGCAGAGATGAAGGACCGCGATGACCCGAAAGCAAGGACAGAAGACCGTTGTCGAGCCGAACCCGCTATCCCCCACTTGTAAAAGCCGTCGACCGCGCCGTGAACGTGAATGACGTCTCCCACGCTGATGGAAGGAGCGTTATAAAAGTCGGGACGACTTTTACGGACGGAGGGGCATGTAAAGAATGGATGCCGTGGTGTCTATAGGCCATAGGCAATGATATTGAATGTTGATCTTGACCATGTACTTTGTACCGTGGCGGCTATAAATAAGGCCGCCCGGCCGTTGTTTTAGTTGCTGTAATTGTCTGTCATCTAGTCTCCTAATAAATTCTTCTATTACTCTCTCTCTCGATCCTCCACCTGGACATCCGCCCTCGCACTAACGAAACCGGTTAGTGCGTGCCAATATTAGTTTTAGGAAATATTGTTACCTTTATCGGTTCTATTGATTTTTGCGAAGTTCGAGCTACGGGGCTGGGATTTGTCACGGGGGGTAAGTGAGCGTGCTGATTACTAACAAGGCGGAATAAGGAAGTGGCATGTAGAACTGGGCACCGGGAAAGGTTGCACAGGGATAGGGATGGGACCTTTATCAAAGTGTTTTGACAGGGCCGGGCGGAGCCGGGTGAGCCAGCTAATCATACACTTAAATTCAAAGTCCAAAGTCTCGGATATCACTATGCATATGTGAAATTGCAGTCAAACAATCTTGTGTCTTACTTGTTTGGCAATGTAAGTACAAAAATATTTCTTTCCGCGATGAGATCAAAGAACTGACCTAGTATAATCAACAGTACAATAAGCAGAATATCGATAGCCGAGTCGGGCATAAGCACGCCCTTCACTGTCGATTTCAACATCTGTTAATTCGGCAGAGCATGTAGTGATATCGGTGCAGATACTGAACATTCCGTTATTTAGTGCATTGCAAGGGAAATTGTGGTGTTGCTTAAAGGCAATGGATCAGCAGAATTGACCCTTCTCCGGTTTTGGTGGATTCAAGTAGAGGCCCCCAAGTACACTGTAGCCCAAAGCCCACCTGCCAATCCATGCGTTAAGTCCTGAAAAATGCGCCTCAAAGTTCCACCAGCCCCTCCCCTTTCCATTGAGTGGGCGGGGCTGGTGGAACTTTGAGGCGCATTTTTCAGGACTTAGCGCATGAATTGGCAAGTGTGGTTTGGGCTACTGTGTACTTGAAAGGTCCACTACCTAAATCCACCAAAATTCGAGAAGGGTCCATTCTGCTGATCCACTGCCTTTAACAAACCTGTGATCGATCAAATTTGGAGTCCAGATTTTGTGTGAGTCGTGAACATACAAGTTCTCTATCTTCCATTCGGAATGATCCCATTTCAGCCGAGAGTCTTCCCAAGCCTCAATGGATTGCATGAAAGGGAAACATATCTAATCAATTATTACCAGGTAGATATCCCCAAAGATCTGGAATTGATACGAGCTTCCAGAAGACAGCTGAACATGTCGAATTGTTGCATCGTCGATCTCAAAAAAATGTACTAGCATCGCATAATTAGACTGATCTGCAAATGTGTGGCATCATATATGACAGTGTCCGAAAATGCTATCAATCAGAATGTATTAGGTTGTTCCGAAAGTTTTGTCGGTTTTTTTCATCGCTCACTAGAACTCACAAAACACTATTCCGTAAGCGTTGTAGGTACCATTTAATTCAGATTTTCATCCTCTTTCTTACAGCTATATTTGCTGTCTGAGCTACCCTGTCTTTGCAATGTTATCACCATGGCTTTTTGAGCAGCTCAACAGTAACGCCAAACCTTTCCTGAATTTTAGAAATTTCTGTCCTGACACTTCTAAAGAGCCCTGGTAACCGTTATGTAGAGCAAAGTTTTGGCTACATTGTGCCCATTCTAAATTACGTTTGTCACCTTTACTAACGATCAGTCCGTTATAATTATTTATTTGATAAAAACTGCGGCTTTTTGATTACGTTTATCACGCAAAAGTACCGAAAATTCCAAAAAGCTGCTTTCTCAAAGCAAATCAAACTTGGTTATGTTGCATAAATAATTTTTAATAAGAATCATGTTTTAATTCGCAGAAACTTCAAAAGGTTTCATGTATTTGTTGCAGTTGCATGTTTCATGACTTTGCCAAAAATCGAGACCTCCGAAGAAATAATTATTTGATGCGAATCAGCAGATAAGTGGAATCTAAAAATATCATCTTGTAGTCCGAGAATTGATTTATTTAATCCTTACTTAACCCTTTCCGAGACTTTGAAATCAAATTTTCAAAAATTAGCCGAACTTTGAGCAGACAAAAATGACGGGTGAAGAGTTTCAGCAATTATCAAAGAAAATTTACAGGATAGTGGCTCAAAAATGTAACCACAAAAAGAGAAGGAAAAGCTGCATCGAATACATGCTGAAGCTCATTCAGATCTTTGTTGTGCGCGGTCTTATAGTGGTCTGGAAAATCCGACAAAACTTTCGGGACGACCTAATATGATACCTAATACGGTCTTTAGATCAAATAAACAGACGGATGAGTGCGCTCAACAGTAATTTTGGATTATTTCATAAATTCAGATTTTGTATTTTTGTCATCGTTCTCTGATAAGCATTGCTTTATTACTTACAGACCGTCTAAAAGCAACAGGCCCGCGTAGTGCAGCCGCAACGACGCGCGCGCGAGCTAGCCACTTACTCATAAATCATGTATTCAAGGTTTTTACTGTTTCCTATGTATGTTTCTTATTCTTTTATGAATAATTAAAAGTTATGGCTGTCATCTGTAAAATTAGTGTGACTGAGAAGCCAGTCCGCACGTAGTGTTGTAAGTTCAATGTGCCGCTAGACACATTGTATACTATTCGAAGAGCAAATACTGATATACGGCACCTACTCCTCGTCGAAGCAAACCTAGTGCTGTAAATCTCATGAGCAAGAAATAGCAATTTCGCACCTGCATTTCCCCATTTGGCCAGTTCCTCATGAATAGAGGGTATAGCTAGTAGCAAGTAATAAGATTTTGCGTTGAATGGTCAAACAACAATGGGGAAATTCCCTTCGAAAATAAAGGACATATCTTGTAAGATTGGCTCTTTCGAATGGTATAGGTATCGTCGAGTCATCCCTAGCTTAATATGTGTAGTACACACTATACACGTTAACTCCCGAACCGCAAAACTAGAACCTGCTCATTCCCAGTAACTTCTCCTTGTTTCCTTGTCTCTTTTGTTCTTGTTGGTTATATGTTAGTTGACAGGACACATTCCTACATTTTGTTAGGCTAGAAAATGTTGCACTGGAAAGTTACTGGTAGTGGTGACGTCGCTAATAGGGCTTAGTGTGCAATCTCACACATTAAGTTACAAATGACTCGAGATTACTTTGTCATAAACCAACTGCTTCACCACGAAACGATGACAAAAGCATGAACAACCTCGTACATAACAGGTGTCGAAGTTGAGTATCAAATGAGGTGGTTTTCTTTGGAATCTGTGTGAAATTTCAAATGTCTTTCAAACGCTTGAACTGAAACACATTTACATAAGCAACATACCTATGTATCTTATATATAAAGCTGAATGTCTGTTTGTATGTATGTCTGTATGTCTGTCTGTCTGTCTGTCTGTCTGTATGTGTGTACGTATGTTCCGAATAGAAAATTCCATTTCTGAACCGATCCGGACCAAACTTGGCACACATACGCTACGGGCCCCGGCGGGTGTCATAGGCTACTTTTCGTCATCGATCGATATCGATTTTATCGATTTTTATCGATTTTTTTGCTGAGTTCACCTACGGGGCTGGGAGTTGGCACAGGGGGGGTAATCGAGCATGGGGATTCCGAATACAATATTGGTTTTCAGGATTATCGATTACTTTTATCGATTTTATCGATTTTTTTTGCAAAGTTTGAGCTACGGGGCTGGGAGTTGGCACAGGGGGGTAATCGAGCATGGGGATTCCGAATACAATATTGGTTTTCAGGATTATCGATTACTTTTATCGATTTTATCGATTTTTTTGCAAAGTTTGAGCTACGGGGCTGGGAGTTCGCACAGGGGGGTAATCGAGCATGGGGATTCCGAATACAATATTGGTTTTCGGGATTATCGATTACTTTTATCGATTTTATCGATTTTTTTGCAAAGTTTGAGCTAGGGGGCTGGGAGTTGGCACAGGGGGGTAATCGAGCATGCTGATCATCCCCAAGGGGGTGATCAGCATGCTCGATTACACCCCTGTGCCAAATTCCATCCCCCTAGCTCAAATTTTGCAAAATCGATAAAATCGATAGAAGTAATGGATAATTCCAAAAACTCATATTGTATTCGTAATCTGCATGCTCGATTACCCCCTGTGCAAAATCCCAGCCTCGCATGTCAAAATTTACAAAAAATCGATAAAATCAATAAAAGTAACCGATAATTCTGAAAACTAATATTGTATTCGGAATCCCCATGCTCACTTCCCCCCTGTGCCAACTCCTAGCCCTGTAGGTGAACTCTGCGAAAAAATCGATAAAAATCGGTAAAATCGACATCGATCGATAACGAAAAGTGGACTGTGACACGCGCCGGGGCCCGAAGTGTATGTGTGCCAAGTTTGGTCCGGATACGGCGGAGCCGGGTAAGCCAGCTAGTACGCTATAAAGCATAACAATAACATTTCCTAGATGGACGTGTTGCTCAGCTTGTTTTTGTTTTTTGAAAAAAAAGGGGTAGTAGTTTTGACTGTTCTTCGATGGATTCTTGAAGGAAGAAAGTTTCGTTCGATAAAACAAGGAATGTCGCAAAATAAGTAGTTTTATTTGAATGTTTTATTTGACACCGTTCTTCTTTTAGGAGATGATTTGAGAAGCTAGAAATTCTTCAGGACGACATTAGGGATCAATGTGGGAATAAAGATGGGAATAATATAAAATTTTTATCTCTGAAATGATTTATTGGTTTTACTTGACTAGTAGAAGTCATTTTTTCATGCTGTATATGTTAGGTCGTTAACTAAGTTTGCAACTGATTCCGTAAGTTTTCACCTTTGGATCGCTCATTTTTGCATGTTGTTGTAGGTTATAGTATGTGCTACACACTCTCGCAAACCTGCTTTTTAATGAAAAAAAATAGAAAAATCCAAGTTTTTCGAAAACGTATGAAATTCGAGGATTCATAGAATCATGAGCAAAAATGAAGCCGTTCACAACTAGTTAGCCTACTACATATTGTTGCATAGAGGTTGACTTGATAACCCTCAAAAAAGAAATGAAATTGAAAAATTAGTCTAGATCTCGGATTCCAGGCTTTAAGTGGACACGTTTTCAAGCTGCTGACTTCATTTACTGCTTTTCTGTGGACTGCCGCCGCAACACAACACGTCGCAGTTCAAATCCTTCCTCTCAGGCCAATGCCATTGCATTTTTGCAAAAAGAACCTTCGCATTTCGTGTTTCGGCAGTTAGGAACACTTCAAGAGAATATGAACTTCGATACCTGAATGGTCAACTTGCTTTCAGGGGGTGGTTTGCTGTGAAGCGAATCCTCACTGGTAGTAAATTTTGCTTCCTTCTCAACAAGGTAGTTGAAAACACAAGCTTCTAGACGTCCCCGTTCATGGATTGTCAAGTTGTGAAACTCTGCAATAATTTCCTTTGCACAGCCATCAAATCATAGTCTACATTACTACTGGGTAATCAAGCCGTCCAGTAAACTAAGACCAAAAGTTGAGTTTATTTGCAATTGTATGCAAATTTCTTATTACTTAAACTGTTACATACCTTTGTTTGATTTTTTCAATGCGTTGCATTCATTATTAATAGCCGTTACCAATGTGGCTGCAGCAGAAATAAACATCACTGTGCAACATCTCGCTATCCACAGAAAGAGCAGCATTTCCACTGAGAATTGAGTGCAAATCACATAAGCAATTTCTGTTAGAGCCCATGCTCGCTTTCTCATAATGTCGCCTAGACAACGACAGCATTGATCAAGCTGCTATTATTCGCAGTGTCGGAGCACTCGAATCCCTCATAACAAGAGACAAAAATATAATCTCGACACAGTCAATAAACTATGCTATATTTCCACAAACTTTTCTCAATTTTTTTGCTTTATGGATAGTGGAAGTCAACAGTGGCGCTGTTCTGAACTTTGCACAACACTATCATGCTGTATAGCTATAGCGAAGATGGAGCGAAAGCAAACGAACGAGAAACATTCTTGCCGCTCTAATCATTTTCGGTATGTTATATGTGCGCAAGAACATACACACTACAGATTAGAATATTAGTGAATAGACGTGCAAGGATGGCACCTCCACCTTTGATTAGGACAATAGGACAAAGTATTAGACAAACTAATTCGTTTTGGTTTTCCTTCAAAGTTTATCCGATTTGTTGCTACAGTTCGTAAACATCTCCACTGTCTCTGAAGAATAGCAACAGGAAAGACAAAGGCTCGGTAAGACTGAGCATCCAAAATAATCATGCTTCGACCACCACAAAGGATAGAAGAAGAGCATCTCATGATTTTTACACATAAAGTGTTTTTTTGTTAACTCGGTCATGCCGAGTACAGTACATAAGTTTTCTAACACTTTTCAACACTCATACCGAGTACAGTACATAAGTTTTCTAACACTGGATATGGATCAAAGCTTTGTAAAGAAACTACTCAACTGAAGGGGATTTGAAAGTATGCGAAACAGTCTCACCAATCTCGCGCAAGTCTTGAAGTTCTCACATATGTCTTTTATATCTTGAGAGCACTTACAGAATGTCATTCTTTTATGCATGGACTTACGAAGTGTAACATGGAGAAAGAAGCCAGAGCAAGCAAATGCTTAAAGGCAGCGTCCGGGCAAGATCCGCCCACCCAGATTAGCACATAGTCGTGAAGCGGGCCCCACTCAGACAGCGGATCGGACCCCTCCGCCGGAGAAGTGGCAGGGTCGCGGCGTATCCCCAGCGGTGGGTCTCCCATTTGTCCGGCGGAGCCCTCCCATTTTCTGCTCCGGATACCTCCCATTTCTGCTCCGGATACCTCCCATTTTCTGCTCCGGAGACCTCCCATCTTCTGCTCCGGATACCCCCCATTTTCTGCTCCGGATACCCCCCATTTTCTGCTCCGGATACCTCCCATTTTCTGCTCCGGAGCCCCCCGATTTTGTGCGCCGGAGCCCCCCGATCGCGGCATACTGTAATTAGCCCTAATTAAAGGCAGCTTCCAGGCAGATCTGGACCTATGGGGCTTTTACATGGAAAGTACTTTTGGGGCCCTAACTAAGGCACTGCCGAAGCAGCAGCTCAGGTAGTGCTCCAATGGCTGAGATATTCCCCTCGAAACAGACCCCCGCGAACGTACTCGCATGGATTCATGGCAGTTTCGCGCCAGGATCCACTCTTTGCGCCATGAATCCATGCGAAACACGGTCGCGGGGTCCGGTTTCGAGCAGAATATCTCAGGCGTTAGAGCACTACTTGAGCTGCCGGTTGGGTAGTGGCTTAGTTAAGGCCCCAAAATACTTTCCATGTAAAATCCCCATAGGTCCAGACTTGCCTGGACGCTGCCTTTAAGCTCCAAACCCCAATTTTGTCTCTAAACCCCACCCAAATAAGCCGAATAGGACCCCCCCCCCCGGGTAGGAGTTTAGCGCGACCCTCACCCCGTACTCTACCCCCTCCCTCTCACCCCTAGCGTTTGTGGATAGAAGATAGAAGAAAGAACGAAGAGATAAGACATTTATTTCAAATTTATCAAACTTTCGAAAAATCTATCTATCTATCTCCAGCATACGTACAACAGTTAATTCATATTACAAAAACCATACTAGGAGTGATAAGAATATTCAAAGAAAAACTAATTTCCTAGTTGCAAAAAGAACCTTGTAACACCACAGTATAAACATATGGTTTTAACATGGTAAGAAAATGACAAAAAGATCAAAAAAGCATTCTGTGCAACATGAAACAAAACAGCGAGGAACGCCATAAACTCACATTTGCAAAGCAGGGACATATTGTCCAAGTGCGATATATACATGAGCTATATTCATCCAAACATCTTCGAATTCCGAGGTCCAAGGCCATACTGGGGCAAAACGAAAGTAGGATGATTCAACGTAGTTGCTTGATAATAGTACTAGGACACGATGATGACATGGATTGAAATTCTTGCATATGCAACTTACCTTGAACGCCTTTTCATAATCTCTGTTGAAATGGAAAAACCGCGCAAGAATGTAACAAGCTTCGGCCTTGATTTCGTCACTTTCCGTCATACTCATTGCATGCCACGCTAACCGTTCAACCTTGTTCATTTCCTGAAAAAGTGATGCCTTCAGATAAAGCGATAAACACCTCGATGTAACAGCTTGGACAAATTTAAAAGGTCCCTTTTATAGATAATTCGTAATTAATTCAAAGAATTTCTGCACTGACTCCTTTGAAGAAGAAGTGGTTGGCAAGATGGACCAAGACAACCGGATTCTCCGGCTCCAGACTATACGCTTGGCCTAGACAAGCCACTGCACTTTGGGCTCCCTCGACAGTATGCGTATTGTAATCCAAAATGGCAAGTGCTGAGAGAGCACAAACATTGTCATTTTGCAATTCCAACGCTTGTTCAAAAGCGATTCTGCAAATTGTAATTGAAAGTCACATAAACAGTAAAGAAGAAGCTATGTGACTCAAACATTTCACATTTACATGCTTACCTAGCCTTATCAGTCCCTAATCTCGCTAAGCAATACTGGAAGCAATGTGATGTGACTAAGCAACAGTAACAGTCACAATGCTTCAGTAACAGTCACAAAACTTCAACATCGTTTGGAGTTGCCTCCAAGACTTTTGTCAACATATCTCTTGCCTTGTCCTATCTTTCAAGCCAGAAACGATATAGTGAGGATCTGCAATGTCTGATGAAAAGTCGATCGACTTGGTAAGCATACGTACGAGAGAGATAGTGTGGACCCCGGCCAGCTTCAGGTACTAGCGCGGCGCACACGCAACGCGCGCCCAACTTGAACGCTTCTCATTTCACTTACGAACAAAAAAGCATTATAACCGAAAACAGGAGTGAAATGAGATGTGGAGGCCTCTAATCCGAACACGAGAAAAGCCAAGGCAATAGGAGAACCTTCACAACTTCTACTACTAGCGCTCAGATTCCAGTCAATCTCATAAATAACTGGAATCTTCTATTATCCATCGCTAGTAGTGTATGACACTACCAGCGATGGATGATAGAAGTAACAGGAAAAGTCGAAGAACAATTCTGAAAAGTCTTCCTTCTGTTCATAAAAAAACCCAGAAAGTTTGAGCTCAAGAGCACGATTGCAAAGCTCTGATGGTGTAACAAAAGGCTAGAAGCATCTACACTCCACAAAATCAACTGCATATACACTTATTCTGAACATTTGGAGAGATGTCTCTGAACTACACCGAAATCTTCACTATTGAGAAAAAAACAAGATTTTCGAAACAAATGCTTGCAAGACTGTCAAGACTCGTAAAAATCCATCACCAGCAGTTGACGTGTGTCGTTTACATCTAAAGTAGAGATTACAGAAGAGAACAAACACACTTGAAAGAGGAAATTGAAAGAAATCCCTTCAGAGCCGAAACGAAAAGCGCACTGAAGGCATGCGCTGCGGGCGCGCCGCGGAGGTACCTATGGGAACCTGGCCGGGGTCCACACTATAGCAATAAACGGATTATTTAGACGATACTTTCATCACAACAACACTAGATAGTTGCGCAACTAACCTCATTGTTTCGAAAATCCAGAATTAATCACAAAAACCACTCCATCAATAGTCTACGATGTCTCAGCAAGTCGGAAAGAGCCAAACACTGAAGGTGATTGAGTGCAACCGCACGAAAATTTCAAACATAAACCTGAAAACGAGGAACTTACAGCAACATAAACGCCAACGCGACGAAGAGCAACGCGGAAAAGGAAAAAACGGTAAAGAAACGCGCAAAAACAACGGAATCAAATAAACGGCGACTAAAATATGGACAAAGAGCGTAAACAGAGGACTCATCACCGTGGAGTTAGACGTTTGCTTGCTACGCGCCAAATCGATACGCAGCCTGCTCCGGATACCTCCCATTTCTCCGGCGGATACCTCCCATCTTCTGCTCCGGATACCCCCCATTTTCTGCTCCGGATACCTCCCATTTTCTGCTCCGGATACCTCCCATTTTCTGCTCCGGATACCTCCCATTTCTGCTCCGGACCCCTCCGATTTTCTCCGGCGCGTGTCTTCCAAATTTGGCGGACACGCGCCGCGCAGACCTCTGCGGCGCGGAGTCCGTCAAATCTGGCAGAGTCGCGCCGGAGAAATGGCGGACCTTTGCAGCAGGGCCGGAGAAGCCTCCCATTTGCCTGCCAGTGATGCCACCGCGATGGACCGCCCATTTGCCCTTCTCTCATTGGTCAACTGGGTCCGGCGCGACCCTGGCAGTTTCCGAGGGTCCGGCGGAGGGGTCCGATCGATTGTCTGAGCATTATACTTGGGGAAATTCGATTTTTTTTTCGAATATTCGAATATCGAATATATTCGAAAATAAAAAATTTCGAATATTCGAATATCGAATATATTCGAAAATAAAAAATTTCGAATATTCGAATATCGAATAATATTCGAAAATTGAAAATTTCGAATATTCGACTTTCGAATATTATTCGAAAATCGGAAATTTCGAATATTCGACTATCGAATATTATTCGAAAATGAAAATTTCGAATCGAATAATATTCGAATATCGAATATCATTCGTTATTCGAATTTCGAATATTATTCGGCTCTCGAATGTTATTCGATTTTCGAATATCATTCGATTTCCGAA